GAAACCTAATTTTTGTTTTTATACTTTTGAGCAGTGTACGCATTGCTTTATTACCTGAAAATTTAGCAAAAAACTTACATGAAACACACCATTAGTTAGGGTTGTGGTGAATAAACTATAATTCGTTCACGTAATATTTTTATGATTCACATAAATTTCCACGCGTTCCCTGGAATTTACAGGAATTACCTTCACACTGTGTCCTTAGTCCTAACACGCAGTATGTCCAGTGTAACGGCGATCCAAAAAAAGGAAGCCGTATCACGTAATCACCCTATTGTATTGTTGTATACATGACACTATATTATACTCAGCGACATAGCAATAGGGATAATCTACAGGCAGTCACCTCTGCGTTTTTAAGGGGCGGTCGGTGGTGGGTGGGCAATGATCAATACGCGATATTTAGTATTATATAGTATACCTATATTTATAATAATTGTGACAGATATACAATTATAAATATTACAGTGAATGCTTTTATCGAGTGCTGGAGGTTCGAATAAAATATTAATCTGGCCTCTGAAAAATTTCAAGTTTATCACATGACTACAACTATGTACGTAATAATATAACCAGGAGGGCAACGATAGAGCCATTGTGCGCCTGTAAATTGTATATTTTTCTGAAAACAAACAATTTATTACTATCACAACGTTCCTAGTCGGACCATCTTGAGAATATCAACTATGCGAAGGAACAATAAAAAGTCCCGTGAATTTAAAAGTTGTTCTTAAGTTGCTTAAATCGTAAATACATAATATATATTTATGTATATTTTACATACAACATTAGCATAAACTTATTGTATGCGGAAGGTCAAACTGCACCTTTTTGTCGYCTTCAGTAAAACGTATAGGTTTGAAATTACCTACTAACATTGAAACAGAACTTGAAAATAACGAAACTAGTATTTCACTTACCATATAAATTAACTTTTTCATWAACAAATCTTCGAACATTTGACATGATGGTAACTAAAAACARTGATATGAGAGAAATCTGTRACCTTACAGTTATTTCAGTTGTATTAGTGTAGGTATCACCTGAAAATAACTAAAAGAATAAAGGTTTTGTTCAAAATAAATACGAAAATTCAATTTTTTAGCGGAGAATCTTTTTAGAATTTTTCTAATTACTTATCTTATWAATCTATATAACATAATCTTATTTAATAACTAATTCTGAATTTTATTCTGATCAATACTTAATTAAAACCGAGTATTATAATATTGGTACAAAATAATGTTGTCGATTTTTTTTATAGAACTTGGTTGATATTTAACTAATATGCAATAAGAACTGTACGAACTAGGTAGTTACTGCCATTTTTATTTTTTTTTACCTACCAATAAATAAAAATGTATCTTGTGAAAGATTTTACATTCAAATGTGAAAAGCGAGCCAGAGCATCCATTCACAATATATCATAAAGGTGTTCTTTCAATTTTAAATATAAAACTATAAATAACAATCAMAWGAGAAACAAATATTATCTAAAAGTGATTTGTATACACATTTTATACACACAAACTAAAATAAAAGAAAAACATTGGCACTTCTCCCACCTCACCATGCACGYCATTTGAGTATAAAATATCTAAATCTGCTAGTAAAAGTGGCCTGATCTAATGAAAGATTTCCAGTCCCACACTTCYGACTATGATTATATATATWATATATCACTCACCCAGTCCACAATAACAATATTGATACTTAAACCGAATAAGTTAATAATAATAATAACACATATTTCGATAAATCATACACATGTCGTAAAGGTCCGCAGTGTTATTTATCGTTGATATGATCACGAAATCGGAAATTGTGTAAAATCGACAATCGTGAATTTTTTCTAATAACGTAAAGTATACATATTATGATTTATGATCTTGTCTGTAATTTTTCATTGTGTTTTTCTATTTATTTACACACGATACGCCATTATTGTTTATGGACATTCGRTATCATGAAGAAACCAAGAATTATCGAATTGATGAACSCTKTATATACATATAGGATGATTCTCCAAGCAAATTCACCCCTTTTTATTCAACAATGGAGTTATATTAAAAACCTTATTTTGAAATGTTGAACCTATATTTAATCCACCTAAAGACTTTACTTTCAAATTCTTGAGTTTTTTTTTCTACTTAATAAGAATGTCCTGTGATGTTACAAACTTATGTTTTTYAAATGAGAATAACTCCAAATTTTCTATAACTGCATTATTGAAGAATAAACTTAGTATACTTAGTGAATCARCCTGTATGTATTACTTAAAATTATTTAAATTTGTTACCAATTACTTTTCTAATTATTGAAAATGAGTAGGGCAAAGCATAAACAATTTTACATACATTTTGGTATATTACCAAACCAATTGATTCAACTACGTTTTATGTTTTATCTAATTATAGTAGGTATCTATAGATGATCAGTTCAAATAAATACTATCAGTTATTTACACGATTATGAATAGTTATGTTTGACTTACATATTAACAATGTAAGCCACTAATGTATAATATAATATTTAAACGTCTACCTATGTGAAACGTATTTATAGTTTTACTTTGTAGAAGCAAAATATTTTGATAATTTAGTGATATAATTTTAGATACAGTTCTATTRTTTTGAATAATATTTTTGATTTTTTRGTACAAATATTATGTTAAAAAAAGAGTAAAAATCACGACAAACGACTATAAAACCAGTATTAGTTGATACAAATTATGAATAATTGTTTAATGATATTTAACAATAAACAGATAAAAATAATTATCACAAACAGAGAGAAAATCATTATAATAATTATAATTTATAACTATAACTTTAGAGAGAAAAAACACTACGTATTCATTATAATTGGTTTTATAAGTACGCAGTTCGTACTATTAATTTTAAGTATTGAAAAAAAAAAACTTTGATCTAAAAATATTWTACTACTATATCTTTTAGATAGTAAAATCTCTATTAATTCATGGAATTAAATTTGAATACCTATTGTGTGGTAATCGATAGCGAGAGATTTAATGAATTCGCGCGCCGTGAGGTGCCATATATTTTTTTTGTTTGAGGTATGCATTTTGTGCGGTGTATTGRTTCGTGTTTGTGTGGCATAATGGAAGGCGTAATTTTAAATAACCTTTACCTACTCTTATATGAGAGGTTAGGAATGTACAATGTACGCCATTCGTATATTATTGCGTTTAAGCTGAGTATAGTCTGCCTGCCGTCCAGCATTTAATTTTTTTATTTGCAACAATAAATTCCGGTACTTAGGTAACAATTATAAGTAGATACAATATTGGATAGGTATTTGAATATATAACAGTGTTTAACAAGTATGATTATAATGCAAAGACAATTGAATTTTAATTAAGCCATAATATGACATAAAATAAAATAATTTAAAATGCAAAACTAATAATTAATTCTGAGGGGTTAAACACTCTCCAAAATAACGCTGTACAATTCGTGGCAAGTCACATATTACACCACCTGTAATATGTTACCAGTGTTAAAATGAGGAAATTATACCTCTGGGTACAATACGTATACTAGAGACACAGTTAGCACAGAATGGTCTTACTCCCTCTGCGCAGTAATTTTATCCGTTTGAGACTATCTCAGTGTTATTGTTATCTAACTGACGAGGAATAATAATTTAAATCAAAGTTCATAAAACGCATAACATAACATTTACATTTAAGTTGGTATGTAACTTAATTTAAAATACCTCAAAAATATCTATAGTTGATTAATTATTTTAACCAGAGTTAAATTAACCAATGGGTAGGTATATGACATGATTACTATATTATTTTTACACAATTCACATGATGTCAGAGTTTTGGTTTCTATTTACCTAAAGATAGATACATCATACATATTGTTTTTGTCACACAATCATTTTTTATGCATGTTATTTTGCATATTTTGACAGGTAGGTAGGTACGTGGTCTGTAAATAATAATATTATGTGCAGGTATGGTGTGGCGTGGTGTCTGGCTTCAGCCACTGATGTGCGCTGAGTGCCATCACCGGTCGGTGTCACTAGTTCCTGGATAAGATAGATGCCACACATACACGTGTTCCAAGCCAACCGTATCATAGCGAGTTTCAAGGCTCAAGATCAATAACAAAAAATAATAAGAATATACATAACATTAATAGAATTAAACAAATATGAAGGAATGAAAACAAACACGAATTCAGCACAATTTACARCTATTGATAACTTGAAATATAAATACAAATTCTAACAATAAACTTAAGTACTTTTTAGTATTCAATAATACGTATTAATTATTTAATTTTAATAAATACGTATGTTTTGAAAATCTGAACAAAAAAATTATTATTTTTATGGATCATTATAAGAGGTTTAATAAACACTATATGGTTGACTTAAAGGCACAATATTTATATTTGAATCTAAACATATATTATTTATTGAAAAAGCGTGAAATAAGTTATTATACATTTTATAAATTAATATACACACGATAAAATAAAATGAAATGATATATTAACATTTTTTAGTTATAAGTAATCGTTTTATCGAATATTCAAAAATATAGTAGTCTAGAAACTATTTAATAAAATATATAAACCAAAATATTTGAAGAAAAATAATGTTTTCTATTTTCACTAAAAGCTTTAACTAATACACATCATAGCTTATCAGAATTATTAAGTCTTAGGTATATGGTCCTCGTAACCAAAAAATACAACCGGGTAGTAATTGCGTTCGCTATAGATGACACGATTGGCACACGCCAAAAATATATAAAACGCGTCGGCGAAATTGTCTCGTTCACGAATCCATTTAAACGTTAAAAATATAATCCACGCCTCGAATGGTTATGTTATTATTGTACAATGTTTACTGAACAATATACTTAACTCACTGTTTCCTTTCTCATTTTACAGATACTTCAACTGCAGATGAATGATTTCCGATATCATTTTCTCTTCACTACATTCGTGAGTATATAAAATAAAAAATATCATCAATCGCGAGTACCACCTCGTGAATTGTYATCATATTCGACAGAGACAACCGCTAATCTAATGTGGCCCGATTTCTGTTTTATTTCAGGACCTCGAGACGTTCGATCTGGAAGACTTTAAATATAACTCAGTGAACATAACGTCGTTCAGAATAGTGGACGACGAAAACCACCGCGTAGTCAACGTCCTGCGCGAGATGGAAAGATTTCAGAGGGTTGGGCAAAACATGTTGCACAAAAGTGGAATCATCAGGGTGATTATTATTAATGAAATTACTATTATCGTTTACTGCTCAATCATCGATGATGGAATTGTTCAATCAGTTTTTATTTTTTTTTATCATTATTATTTTCATTTAAAATAAAATGGAAATATAATTTCGCAATAATTGCTATGATTCAAATGGCTACTATTTTAACCACAAGTTCTATTATTATCTCGATYAGGTTACGTGATTTTTTCTAAAAATTGTATCAACGCATTGTAGTACACTGCAGCACAACATACCATTATCCTTAGCATGAAAAACGACAATCCCAGTCACCCCTCCCCAGAGTGATTATAATATTATAGATAACGATACAGTGGAAATCGTATTTTCGTACGTTTTCAACATAATTATTTMCAAAAAATAAAAATAAATAAATATGCAATCATATTTTAGTCGTGTCGTTTTGTGCACAGGCCGAACCTGCTTTGATGTACGACGCGGTAAACGTGTTCGCTAACAGCATCGGATCGCTGGACGGGTCGTCCAATTCAATGCAATCGTCGAACGTTTCGTGCAAGACGTCGGACCGTTGGGCGAACGGAACGTTTCTGTACGATCGACTCAACGCGGTTAGTATTCGATTATGGTATTATATATCTATTATAATTACAGTAAACTGCTTGACAACGTGACGGATTTTTGATATTTTTTTGTTTTTCTCGTTTCGCCATCACGACACAGGTGAGCATCGAAGGCCTGACCGGCAAAGTTCACTTTGACGAAGGGAGGAGATCAGATATCAAGCTGGACTTGCTGAAACTACATCAGGAGAAAGTGAAAAAAGTTGGTTTTTGGACACCGTCGACCGGCATCAACATCACGAAACATTCCGTATTTTACGGACACCAGAGCTCCAACGTGACACTGATCGTGGTCACCAGAGTCGTAAGTTTACGTCATTAAAACCGTAACCATGATATTAATATTTTGCATGATATGCATTATAATTTATTATAATATTAAACGCATAAACGAAGAGAATTAAACGCGTCACACGTCGCCATCGGGATCGTTTCACGTGGTAATAAAATAATACTTAATGAAAAACGGACTAGCGTTACTATTATAACATAGATATACAGTATAATTTATATTTTCTTGGAATCTACATAATAATATAGTGATCTGTTCGAAAACAACAATAAACCCATCATTCGWWAAAAGGTCCGCCCGAATTATACTCTCGAGAAATACAAAATTTATAAAAGGTGAAAAAAATATATAAATTACTTAAACTTCTATAGTAGTTATTTTTTTATTTTTTTTGCTCGACCGATATGAATATATTATTGAACCAATATAAAGTCAGATACATATTATATACCTATACAATAACGCACGATATGAAACACGTTTTTGTTCTTTGAAAATGACGATGATATTACACGTATACCATACAAGATCGGA